TACCCAACACATGCGCACCCCTTTCCTGGAGACAGAAACCCTGACCACAGGGCGCCCCACACCCAGACTCACACACACCTGGATACTCTAATGCATGGGCACCCTGTTTCTGGACACAGATCCCCCCACACTCCAATATCCAGACACTTGGGAACCCCACATCCAGACACCCAAGTACTCAGATAGCCCCACATGTGGACACAACACAGAGACACTCCCATACTTGAACACCCCTTAATCTGAGGACTGCCAGACCACCTGGATACACCCACCTCCAGATCCAGAGACACAGGGCCATCCTTAGGTTGGCACACCCTGATCCTCCCATAGCCTGGTCCTGGGACACCCACACCTAGATACTGAGATGCCACCCACCCAAATAGGTCTACACCCAAACTCCAGGTATTTGACACTTAGATACCAAGACACCCTGGCAGCAGGCTCCCCAGGGATCCAAACAGCTGGTCACCTCCCTATTCCAAATTCAGATCCTGCCATGCAGGGTAACCAGATGGCTAGACACCCTGACAAGCCACATATATGTCCTGTACCCCAGGCTACAATCACACACACACACACACACACACACACACACACACACACACACACCCCTCACCCCATTCTGACTGCCCAGATGCCAGGATCACACCTGCACACACCTCAGCCAGCCTCCCATAACCCCACCTGCAGGGGTCACTACAGGGAGCGGCCCTCCTCCCCTCCCTGGAGCTCACAAACAGTCAGCACACAGGGTGTGATCCCACCTGCCCACTCCAAGATCTGGGACAGAGAACCGAGGGAGTCTCCCCCTCCTGATGCAAGGCCTGCCCTTCCTCCTCCCAGGACACTCAGCTCAAACTGACGGTTGGGACTCGATGCTTCTCACCACCTGCTGAGGCCTCCAGCACAAAGGCTGAGCCTGGGGGCAGGACAAGCCCTGCCAGCTGCTGGGGGGGGGGGGGGGGGGGGGGGGGGGGGACAAGCCGGGGCAGGGGGGGGGGGGGGGGGGGGGGGACGGGGTTGGAGACAGAGCTGGAAGCTGGGGGGAGGGGATGACAGGCAGGAGCCCGCTCCCTCCAGTCCCCGCCAGGGACTCAACCTCCCCAACTCACAGCTCCCAGATGACTCTATATGTGGCCTTTTCACACACAACACCCCCACTCCCCCCAGCAGAATTTTCCAGATTCCTGGAGGGAAAACCGAATTCTTTAATCTCTACTTTCAATGGAGTCAGTGCGCCCCCATCTGGCTTCTCCAGCTCAGAACTTGACCCACTGGACCTCGTTCATTCTTTCTTGCCACATTTATTCAGCAGCGGTGGGCCAGGACTTGTACCTGACACTAAGGATTCAGAAGTGACCTAAATACCCAGTCTCTGTCCTCACAGAGCTCATGGTCTGTAAGGGAGAAAGGACCAATAAACTGTAATTACAATAATTACAATGCTATGAAAAAATCCAATCAACCCCCACTCTCCCTTCCGGAGCTAGAACAGGGCAGTAACCAAGGAAGGCTTCTGGGAGGAGGTGATGCCTAAGCTGATACCTGAAGGAAGAACAGGAGTTCACCAGGAGAAGAGGTGGAATTAGAGAGTCCTGGGGAGAAAGCACAGCTTGGAGGACAGAAGGGGGCTGTGGGAGAAAGGGGGGCACAAGGCACCCCTAGCAACTCTAGCTAAGCCAGCCGGGCATGAAAAGGCACCCCACAAATCTAGCTTAGCAGATGGAAGGATGGCAGCATGCCTCAAGCAAGCAGGTGTCTGCCCTGAATTCTCTCTCTGACACTTGGGTTGGGCAGGGGGCCTCCAAGGAGCTCAGCATCCCCCACCCTGGCCACTCTCACCACCTCCTGCTGAGTCTCCTCCCCCAGCCCCAGGGAGAAGGGCCAGCTGCTCAGACAAGCCTTTATTGCCCAACCTGAAACCACTGGGCAGCCTCTTCCTCATTCCTATTGTCCACAACCCCAGCAACCAAAAGGACAAAATGAGCTAGAACACAGAGGAATACGTTATTGCCAGATTTGCACGACTGCAAGACATCACACACCCACCCTTGGTGGGGCAGGGGACTCAGGAGGCATTTAGGGAGCTGGACTGATTTTACCCAGGTTGAGGGCAAGGATTGATCATACCCCTTCTACAAAGCATTTATTTATGAATGAAGCCCCAAAGGTAATAGCTACAAAGGTGCCAGGAACTTCAGAAGTGAAGTGACTTGCCCAAGGTCACAAGGACAGCAAGTGGCAGAGGTAGAATTTGAACCCAGGTCCCCCCTGGCTTCAAATCACACTTTCTGGGGCTCTTTGTAACAGTCCTCAAAACCATCTTTTGTTCCCTAGCACTCACAGATAGAGCCTTACTTTACAATCTACCAAGTACTATGCACCATTATTATGATGCCTATAAAGCATATGAGGAAACCAAGCCCCCAACGATGGAAGTAACTTGCTCAGGGTCTCACTCCCATCCCAAACCTCAGTTCTTGACAGTCTCCCCCCTGCCGGCAAGAGGTGAAGCACAGGAGGGTTCTTGGAATCAAGGCGAGGGGGGGGGTGAATAATAACCCTCCAGTTTGATCTCAGGGTGGGGAGGGGGCAAAGTTGTTGGGGGAGGAGTTGAGGGGGGAGAGGAAGCCAGGCCCCGGCTCCCAGCCAACTGCAGAAGCCACTGCGGGGGCAGGAGGAGCTCTGCCCCCAGAGGCCCGAAGGGTTGGCGGGGCAGCGAACTCGACTCCGGGGAGGCCAGTTCTCGGAGGCCGGCGGCCAGGAGGAGTCTCTCCGGGGCCGAGGTGGCCCGGCACGTGCCTTGGCTCTGATCTCTGCTTGGGGCGTCTCCCCGTTACTCAGCGCCCTGGGTACCAGGCTGGAGCCACCCAAACGGTGGGGATTGGGAGGATGAGGCCGCGGGAGGGGACCGGGCCACCCCTGCCCCAGGGGACGGGTCGGGCACAACTCCGCTGGAGGGGGCCACAGTCTGGCAGCCCAGGCCCCAGGGAAGGATGTGGGCGGGGGAGGGGAGTCAGACACACGCACACACGGACACACAGACACAAGCTCCGGGTACGCACATTCAGACGCGCGAACACACACACACACACAGCGCGATCACACAGCAGACAGAAACACGGAGACACACGTACACACTCACACACACCGCGGTCCCAGCCGGCAGAGAGGCCGCACAAAGTTGCGGAGTCGACCGAGGGAGTGTCCCGGGAGACCCCGGTGGCGGCGGCGACTCCCGCCCGCCACGGGAGGGGACGCCGTCCCGCGGCCGAGGGCCAGGCCCTGCCCGCGCCGGGACGTCGCAGCCCCGCCCGGCCACAGCGCCCGCCGCGCCCCCCCCTCCGCCCCGACTCCACCTCCACCGCCCGCCGGGTGCAGCCACGGCCGAGCCCCGCAGGAGCGCCCGCCCGCCGGCCCCGGCGCGCCCCGCGGCCCCCGGCGACCGCCTGCCGCGCCCGG